ATAATATGCTTCAGAGATGTCACATGAACTAATGATGCCGATAAAAATCTTGTTTTGGCAGCAGACATAAGCCGTGATACGTTGACCAGCATTACAATTCTGTCTCTTAGATGGTCGATCGTAATGACATTCGTCTCCTTCAGTCAGTGATCGTTTTCCAGCTTAAGGACAACAGAATTACAGTGCTCCTAATGACCCTTTTACGCCAATTAATTCGTATATTTAAAGTAATAATGGCGCCAACCATCCAATGACATGTTAATACTGAGGAGTAAATAGCATTGCTAGCTTGCATATTAAGACAATGATCAAACTTCCTTCATAGCATGCTGAATGAGGGAGAGAGGTCCAGAAAAACGGATAACAAATCATTAGTCCACAAAAATAGGGACAACATGGTGCACTGATATGATGACGCAGAAGCGTGAAAGACATACAGCCATGTCGCTTGATGCGTACGCTCTGCGGCTGCATTTCGCCTTGGCCCATCAGATAGAATAAAAATCAGCACAAGATGTAGAGGGAAAATTTAAAAAAATATCTCAAGGAGGACTCTATGGAAACACATACCTCGAGTACGCACTTTTTATTAATAAACTTTTTTAAAATGCGTCAGAAATATAAAGATGACAAAGGAATCATCGCAATCAATTTTAAGGGCAATCAGCATGAGATAGGCCAAAGCCAACTAACTACACAAATTTTTAATTTTTTCGAAACGCTATGCAAAGTCCTTGATTTTTTATTACTGAACGAAGTAGATTAATACGACGGTATCTGAGTGACCAAAATAGCTTAAAAAATTTAGGATTTAGGTACCGTGTGAAGAATAATTTTGGCTTTTGCTAAACCTAACATGTGAAGCAACCTTCAACATTACTCTTGCACTGGGGTATATTCGAAGTGGCAGCTAACCTCATGCGAATCGAAATAATTCGACAACATTTTCAGCGTTTTTCATAAGTTAGCATCTCCTAAATTTAGACATTTGCTTCAGTCTGTCAGTCTGCATAAGATGAATCCACTGTTTTCTTGATGATGGATGGATGACGACGGTGTTTCGTCGAAATGTTGCCAGCAAAATGAAATACAGGGACACAGTCCATTCCTCGAAACAACCTTGAGAAATAACCTTCGTTAATATGCATCATCAGTGTAAAGAAGAGAAGCAACAGTTCACTAAGAACGATCCTCGGGTCATTTTATTAAGTAAGGGATCATTGGACAGAATGAAGTACGGGGAAAGGCTTGTACCCCTGTAACCCCGACAGTAGTCATGAACCCAAAATGGTGGGTCAACGTGACTCCGGTGGATATTACGAAATATAGCCTAGTGGTCATAAATATTTAGCGACTGGGAAGCGGCTGTCACCATTTAAACGGCCGGAAAAAAAGTTCGCCTCCTCGGAAGCCAATGGCAGCCGTTGGAATAACGTGACTGCTCTAAAGTGCTTTACGTTTCCGTAGTTCCAAAGAGAAACAGCACAAAAGGATAACAAACTAGAAGAAGTATTTTTACAACTAATCCGACGATTCGAGTCGACCGATTTCGCATCGGCGAAAATCAAGGAATAAGATTCTGTCGGAATGGTTGCAAATAAAAACTTTTGCACATCTTGTTTTTAGTGATGCCAATTAGATGGAATCAGAAGACCTACGAACCTAATATAATCTACAGCATGATATCGGCAAGAGTTTAAGAACAAGACAAGAAGTGTCACAGAGAAACACACAGAATTACTTGATATAAAACAAGCAGACAATCGCAACGTAAAATAATCCATTGCTCAAGAAGCGGCAGTGGGGGAGGGGGGCAGGACAATCTGTGCCTAGTCTGTGAAGATTGAACAGTGAAAGAATTTCGCCAAATAATCCTCATGACCAGCATAAATAAGAGAAAGTGTCTCAAAGCTATCATATCATAGTGTTTATAGGTATGGTCAGTAAACACTGTTCCAATGCGATCAAAAAGGTACAAAGAAGATGGACCAAGCTTGGCCCGAAACGTCAAATGGCCTTAGAGAAAATTTTATGCGTTGTCTTCCCGTTTGTCACTTACCAAAACATCGTATCATCTCCCACATAAAGAAATCATGTATCTTATTCAATATTATTATTATTACTATTATTATTGTTGTTGTTGTATACTGGAGCTGCGAATCGAGAATACTATGAAATGCCCAAAAAGGTTGCAAGGATAGTCCACTGGCATGCGTGTAAGTCTAACGACCCATCGATGGCAAAGTATTGATGGAAACATCAACCGAAGGCGGTGGAAAGTGAAAATACTCAGGTATTTGTCAATAGAAACCGAGAAAGAAATACTGGCACACAGTCCGGATATCGCGTTCGTATACAAAGCGAATAGGCGATCACAAATCACAAAAGATTTACTGAAGGCCACG